GACCGTAACTGGTGCCCAACAACCAGGAGGTCCGCAACAGTTTGCCTCAGGACCTGCTGGTGCCGGTCAACCTGGTAAGCCATTCGTTTCTTTTATGCGTTTTCGTCAGCAGCGCTATAACGCTGCTACAGCGAGCAAAGACGCATATTGTCGAAAGGTCGTCAGTGTGTGTTTGTGTGTGTTCAGAAGCGAGTGAACTTTGTCACCCACTTTCAACTCAGCAACCAGGAAAGCTGGGAGGCTAAAATTTTGGGGGCATATCTCATCCACCCGTTTTAAGATCTTTCTCCATATGCGCCTAGATCTCGCGTACGGACCCAGAAAAAAATATGCAGATTTCTTTGGCGAGAAATAATTTTGTGAAGCAAGCAAGACAGAATGCAAAAAATTTGCAGGGATATTACATGTGCTTGTGTGAGCTAAAGATTTCAAATTCAGCTGTCGCGCGCTTTTGTAGCGGTTACAATCACATAGAAGTCTGCACTTGGGACCGTACTAATTCGAAAACTAGCCGGAAAACAGTGCTGAAATTTTGTTAGAATATTTATCGCCCGTATGGGAAATAGTATTCCTAAAATGAGTTCCGTTTTGCAATTGCGCCATGACTTAAGGCACTTTAAAAATATAGCAAAATGGCTATTTCGCTTACCTGATAGTTACGAGGTTGAAAGCTCGCTGGGATATTCTAATTTTAAGTGCGGTCTTAATTCTGCTTGGAAATTTAAATTCGTCGCAAATGGGTATGAGAAATACTCTGCCTTACCACAAACTCAGAAACGAGTGCATTTTGCAACGAACGACCTCCCCCATCCTCTCCCAACATCCAGTTCATCTATGTATTTGGATTTTTTGATAAACGATCGCTCTAACAACATTTCCACTTTTTGGTAAAAAACCAGGCTGCCAGTAGCGATTAAAATTTTACATTTTGTTAATGTGGAGGATTCAGGTGGTCAAATGGGCACTCAGTCAGCCGAGGATTCCAAAATGAAAATTCATTCGATGATACTGCAAAAGCGACAAGCACAAGCTGCGAGTGGCGCGGCTAGCGCTGTGCAACAGGCTGGGGCACCACAGCCAGCGATGCAGGATGTTAATGGTTAGTGCTTCAGCTTATGCATAAAAATGAGGAAGCAATGCAACGGACTGGAATAGATGAAAATTTCCTGTTTTTCGATTTAGTGAACCAACTGTTCAATAAAACTAAGCATTACTGTTGTTGGAGGCAAAAAATAAACCAAAAAATGCCGCATCTTTCTTCTTCGCTGCAAGGCTTTTCTCGTAGTGGTTTCAGTTAATGGCTTTCTCTCCGGTATAGAAAATTTTTGCACATTACAGTTCAATTTTGAAGCCTTCAAAAGCGCTGCAAACACTCATTCATGCGAATCG